TNNAAANATTTTGTTAGTAAATTAATATCTAAAAGCTAAATTATTTATTAAAATAAAAAATAAAGATTGACTTATTTTACACAGTCGANTTATATTTTGGTTCGTTGATTTTTTACTTTGTTGATTTATTTATACAGTTGATTTATTTTTTTATGTTCGTCGACTTATTTTTCAGCTTTTGAATATATTATCGTTTGATTGATTTTTTACTTTGTCGACTTATTTAACCATTGACTTAATTTTCACTTTTGTCGACTTAATTTTCAGTTTCGTCGACTTATTTTAAATCATCGATTTATATTTTGATTGATTGACTTTTTACCTTGTCGACTTATTTAAACCATTGATTTAATTTTTTGTTCATCGACTTGACATATTATTATATAAATTAATTAAATTGTAAACTAACTAAAATTAATTCTTTAGATATTTTATCAAGAAATTTTTTTATTAGATTATCAATAGATGGTTATATATTAGTTTTAAATATTATAAATCAATTTTTAAATAAAAACTAGAAAAATTAAATCATATTCTTTTCTAACTTAATCTTGTTAAATAAGGATATAATTGTCATTTGAACTTTTAAAATATGGTATTTTTCAAAGTGTAACAAATTTGGTATAGATTTCAAATTTTCAATAAAATTTGGGGTATACAAGCCAATTTTCCCTAGTTTTTATTCCAAACATTTGTTTTATTGTAGCTTACAAAGAGGAAGGAGATGACAAAGTCGAGACATCAGGAATGGAGATAGGAGTTCCGACAAACGTAAAACATGTATCACACATTGGTTGGGAAAGCGGTTTAACTGCGGCTGCATGTCCCGGTGAAAGATGGGAAGATCTCATACCGCCAGAGTTGTTTGTAGCCGCTGCTGCAAAACAAGATGCCAATCATCATCATCATACCTTATAATTACACTCCTATTTAAGTTTTTCTTTTGTATGTTTTGTTTATGAATCTAAGCATATATTGATACACATGGGAATTTTATCTGTAATATATTATATGTCGTATATATATAATAATCGTTAGTGAAAAATATAGATACGGTGGTTATATAATTGAATGGTATGTATATTTTAAGCAGAGAACTATTATGAATTATAAGATGAAATTAAAATATTGAATAAGCAATTTTTAGGAGACTCTCACGTGGCTTATTTGGATTTTGTATTAGGAGGAAGTTTAATAAAT